AGAAAAATTAAACGGAAATGCTACATTGACCTCTGACTTTATATTCACTGAATTTGCATAAATATCTACATTATCAACTGAGATAGACACATCTCAATTTTGCGATTAAATGACAATTTGTTTCGCCATACAGGTCTGCAAAATTGCAGGTCCACTCTGCCTGGTTGTTGACTCATCTAATTTTAGGTTACTCACATTTTATTGCACTTAGTGCGCGCCATACCTAATTTAATTGGCGTCCCATACTTGATTTCTTTTTTTTTTCGGATTTTTTTTTGCATTCAGTGTTTTACAAGTCGCTTATTCCGTCTCCAAATTAATTTTCTCGTTGGTGGCGCTGTCCAGAATGAGATAAAAATAAAAAATAAGAGACTTGTGGCAAGTCTAACACAATCCAATCTGACGAAACCATGCCAATCACCGTCATAATGAGGTTAGGGTCATGGACAGCTATCAGTACTTCCAAGTAAACTTACTTGAGTGCCTACCTACCGTGTTTAGACACAACTGCTTTGCGCATAGGCTTAGGAGAAGAATGCATTTGGGGAAGGGGTAGGTTTATTTAGCATTAAGGTTGTAGAAGACTGATATGCAAACATGAATAAGCGCCTCGCTACGACTGCAAACAGTCTTGGACCGCCCGGTGACAACCACACGCAAATTAGTACATTGAAGCTCCGAGTTGTGAGTTATTTGTCTAACTCTAACAAATTTAATTGTTTTTTCTTTTCTTGCAGAGTTATCAATTCAACCGATGTAAACGTATGTTCTTCTGTCTTTGATGTAAAAATATATAATCTAGCATTGGACAAATTTGGCAAAGTGGTATATGTTCCACAAGTACGTTGTATATAATCTATGTCCGTTATTATTAGAATTGTTATTATTAATAATATTATTTGATGAAGAAATAAATATAAAATGAAATAACTGAGATCAAGGGCGTATCACAACTCCCTGTTGTGTGCGTCGAATACAAGTTCGGCATACCATAGGCCTATTATATAGGGTGTAAAATTAATTGCTTCCAAACGAATTTGAAGGATCCCGGGTTCGAATTCTGAATGGGGCGATTACATTTTACCGTTTAATAAATTTGATTTAATTTATTCGGCGTCATAAACACCGAAAACAACCCACGAACGTCCGAAGAAGACTATTTCCAGAGGGGACCTTCTGCAGGTGATTCGGCAGTACATCAGAGACTATCACCTCTTTTCCGAAGAATATGCACTGCGTCCTGTAACGTGAACATGGTTCATATTGCACACGGGACCCGGTGATGGTTTAACGTCTCATCTAAAAGACCGTACGCTATTGAAATTTGCATTTCAGCCCTCAGCTACAACTCAAGGAGAGCATCGATAAGAATTGAACCATGGACCAAGAGGTCTACACTGTTCAATCTCTCTATATAAATTACTATTTAGTAATTTGGTATCAAAATATATTAGATTCAAATTTTAATTGTAGAAAAATGAAGTTTACAAAGTCATATCCTGCCATTGTATAACACAATATTTTATTTAATTCATTTCACAGCTTGTAAAATATGACCTCTACCAAGAATTTGTGGAAGGTCTGTGCACAGGCACAGAATGCGTGTCATCAGCGTCATGCAAATGTAAGACTGCACTGTCCGATTTGGGCAGAAGTATAGTCACCTATATTGGGAGTGGAGATCCAAAGTTTTACACAACTTGGATAAAATTGAATTCCTGTACAGCTTACATAGATGCGCCTGAGTAATAATATAGCGGTATAACTGAGAAAAATTGCTTACATTATTGTAAAAGTAAGTTTTGGAAAGCTCAATTTGTGTTTCGTAAGCTAGTACTGTATGTGGCCATAGAGTCTCATTAAAGAATAAATAATAGTAAAAAAAGATATTACTTCACTGTTTAGTATTGTTTAACAGATATTTTTAGTTGCATTTAATTGATGTTAAAGTTGTACTTTCTTGCTATTTGTTAATTTGTTACTGTATAAATATGAAATAATTAGATGTTGAATGATAATAATAATATTAACCCTAAATACAGATTGAATAAACGTCATTAGAAAAAAAAAAAAAGAAAAGGAATGTTTTATATTCAATAATTTTGTTAAATAGTGAGAATGGTTTTGTAACACTCGTAAGCAATTACCATATGCATGGAGCCCCATGGTTCGTCGTTACACCGCTACCACTAGGCCAAGTTATTAATCTCCCGTATGAAAAAAATGATTCAAGATAACTTAATTCGTTAATAATTATAGTACACGCTCGCGCTAATTGTGCAGCGGATATGCTATTGGAATATGGTGCACGAATGCATTCTGACTAGCTCCGAGACCTATGCTAATTGCCGTGTCAAAACATTAATGAACGTCAAGAATTTGGAAATAAATAAAATGAACAAAATGATATATTTTATTCATTGGTAAATTATATAGACTTAAGCGTCAGAGAGCCTTCAGATGAAACAATGACGGACAATCGGAGTCCCAGACGGTCTCCCATCCAATTACTAACCGGGCCCGATGTTGCTTAATGTGGGACTACGACGAGAATTATTAATTCTCTTCGTTATGCGTTTACCGCACTCGAGCATCAGGGACACGGAAACCCTTGCGTATCTACAGCCACACATTTGGACATTGAGTCAGATTTCTGCAGTTCTGGATACCAAGCTGCATAAGTTTAAAAGAGAACTCGTTGAGGAGTCGTATTCACAACTGAGTTCAGCGGTGAAATACACAGGTCAGTGCCTGTACAGTTCAAAAAAGAAGGGTGTAAACACCAATTTGAGCACAACGAGGACGTAAAGGAGAAGTTAAAGGAGGAAGGAGTTAACATCGATAACGGCAGATCGACAAGGCCAGTAAGCTGCTCACCGAAGAAGGTACTAATCTTATGGATAAACGTCAAAAAAATTATTAAAATCGCCAATAAGCATGGATGCTGTCTCTTATACACATCTAGATGTGTATAAGAGACAGCTATCACCTCTTTTCCGAAGAATATGCACTGCGTCCTGTAACGTGAACATGGTTCATATTGCACACGGGACCCGGTGATGGTTTAACGTCTCATCTAAAAGACCGTACGCTATTGAAATTTGCATTTCAGCCCTCAGCTACAACTCAAGGAGAGCATCGATAAGAATTGAACCATGGACCAAGAGGTCTACACTGTTCAATCTCTCTATATAAATTACTATTTAGTAATTTGGTATCAAAATATATTAGATTCAAATTTTAATTGTAGAAAAATGAAGTTTACAAAGTCATATCCTGCCATTGTATAACACAATATTTTATTTAATTCATTTCACAGCTTGTAAAATATGACCTCTACCAAGAATTTGTGGAAGGTCTGTGCACAGGCACAGAATGCGTGTCATCAGCGTCATGCAAATGTAAGACTGCACTGTCCGATTTGGGCAGAAGTATAGTCACCTATATTGGGAGTGGAGATCCAAAGTTTTACACAACTTGGATAAAATTGAATTCCTGTACAGCTTACATAGATGCGCCTGAGTAATAATATAGCGGTATAACTGAGAAAAATTGCTTACATTATTGTAAAAGTAAGTTTTGGAAAGCTCAATTTGTGTTTCGTAAGCTAGTACTGTATGTGGCCATAGAGTCTCATTAAAGAATAAATAATAGTAAAAAAAGATATTACTTCACTGTTTAGTATTGTTTAACAGATATTTTTAGTTGCATTTAATTGATGTTAAAGTTGTACTTTCTTGCTATTTGTTAATTTGTTACTGTATAAATATGAAATAATTAGATGTTGAATGATAATAATAATATTAACCCTAAATACAGATTGAATAAACGTCATTAGAAAAAAAAAAAAAGAAAAGGAATGTTTTATATTCAATAATTTTGTTAAATAGTGAGAATGGTTTTGTAACACTCGTAAGCAATTACCATATGCATGGAGCCCCATGGTTCGTCGTTACACCGCTACCAC